GCCACCTTAGGTGTATGTGGCTGGCGCCTTAGCCACTTGAGCCACAGGCGCCGAGCCTTGAGACAGAGTCTAAAGGATGTGGTAGCTTATGCCTGTAATCCTATTACTCTGGAAACCTGAGTTAGGTGGATTGCCCTGAGCTCACAGGTTTGAGACCAGCTTGAGCCAGAGTGAGACTCCTGCCTCTAAAAATAGCCAGGCATTGTAGCAGACGCCTGTAGTTCTAGGTACTTGGGAGGCTGAGGCAAGAAAATCACTTATGCCCAAGAGTTGGCGGTTGCTGTGAGCTATGATGCCATAGCACTCTACTGAGAGTGACAAAGTAAGACTCTATCTCAAAAAAAAAAAAAGTCTCAAGCTGTCACCCTAGGTAGAGTGTCATGGTGTCATCATAGCTCACAGCAACCTCCAACTTTTGGGCTCAAGACATCTTCTTGCCTCAGTTTTTCTATATTTAGTAGAGATGAGGTCTCGCTTTTCCTCAGGCTGGTCTCAGACTCCTGAGGCTCAAGTAACCCACCTGCCTCGGCCTCCCAGAGTGCTAGGATTACAGATGTGAGCCACCATGCCTGGCTTGAATTTTTTTTTTTTTTTTTTTTGAGACACAGTCTTAAGCATTCCCCCTGGGTAGAGTGCTATGGTGTCATAGCTCACAGCAACCTCAAACTCTTGGCCTCAAGCGATTCTCTTGCCTTAGCCTCCCAAGTATTTGGGACTATAGGCACCCACCACAAAGCCTAGCTATTTTTTGGTTGCATTTGTCATTGTTGTTTTAGCTGGCCCAGGCCAGGTTTAAACCCACCAGCCTTGGTGTATGTGGCCCAGTGCCCTATCCACTTCCTCTGAGCTATGGGTGCCACCTTGAATTTTTTTTTTTTTTTGATGATATCTTTGCCTTTGGTGTGATGGTGATACTGGTCTCAAAGCATGAATTTGGTTTTTTGTTTGTTTGTTTTTATTTATTTATTTTTGAGACAGAGCCTCAAGTTATTCCCTTGGGTAGAGTGCTATGGCATCACAGCTCACAGCAACCTCCAACTCCTGGGCTCAAGCGAGTCTCCTGCTTCTGCCTCCCAAGTAGCTGGGACCACGGACGCCCACCACAATGCCTGGCTATTTTTGGGTTGCAGCCATCATTGTTGTTTGGCGGCGGGCCTGGGCTGGATTCGAACCTGCCACTTCAGGTGTATGTGGCTGGCGCCTTAGCCACTTGAGCCACAGGAACCCAGCCTCAAAGCATGAATTTGGAAGTATTCCTTTCTCCTTTAAGATTCTCTGGAAGAGTTTGTGGAGTATTGTTATTATTTATTTTTAAATGGTTGATACAATTTATTAGTGGAGCCATCTGGACCTGGACTTTTCTTTGTAAGGAAAATATTTTTATTTTGGCCGGGGTTTGGTTTGAACTTGCCACCTGCAACATATGGGGCTGGTGTCCTACCCTTTTGAGCCACAGGCACCATAGGGAACATTTTAATTACTAATTTAATTTCTTTACTTGTTAGAGATCTATTCAATTTCTATTTCTTTTTTTTTTTTTTTTTT